ATCCAGGAATGATCATATGTTTGATATCTTTTTAAAAGAATATTTGCGCCATCTTGAGATAGAATTTTCAAATTAATTATGAAGAAAGAATACGAATATAGAAAGATTGATTTAAAAAGATGAGGAATAATTCTATCTCTTAATTTATAAGATTCAAAGATTCTTCAGGCAACCGCATCCGGCAGAAGGATTAATTTTCCTTATATAATAATAAAATATATCATAAAAAATAGAAGGCAATCTTCGAAAAGAATCACGATTTAATTCTCTCCTCCAAAATAGATCTTATCGAATTAATGATAATCCTTCTATTGATACGGAATTAAATATATATCTCGCCCAAAATATGAAGATATAAAATCCCAGATGATGATGAAATATGAAAGAATTTCAAAAAATATTTGATGATGAATATTTATATGATTCTTATTTCAAACGACCATTCAATTGCCCTGGAGAAGATCAAGTTAGATGAAAATTTAGAGATTTGATTAATAAAAAATCAATAAGATTTCAATAAAAGATAGATCCCTGCATCAACGATTTTCATAGCACGGCGCTTGCAGGAGATAATTGAGAAATCTAAAAAATCAATTTATTGATTCTATCAGATTAGGAAAAGGTCTTTCGTCGTATCTTACACGAGAAAATGATTGAAATATTTCATCGTGATGATATCCAATAAGCTCATCAATCTCATAGATGATTTTTATTATTTATAATTCAAAATCAATAAGTCCCCGTCGAATCTTTATGAAGAATATAAGAAATTAGAATAAGATAAGATTATCTTCTTAATCTTTATCTATTTCTTCTTCAAAAAAAGATATTTCTTTCACGATATTAAGATAGAATTCATTATCAGATGATAATGCAGATCGATCGATGATATTCAGCGCAAATGATTAGAAAAGATAGATTTTCGATTTTCCTCATCAATTCTTCATTTCGTTTGAAGGTCCGTTTCTGCGTTAGAATTTTTCGTTATTCGGCGTCTTCCTCCTCGTCTAATTCGTAGCGTGCGGCGGCGGGATTTCACGATTATGAGGCGGATACCGATTCCTCTTGAGATTTTTGATTTTGATCCTTCAAATTTTTATAGAGATATCTAATTAGATTATTCTTCAAATTTCTCGTCTCATAAGATTTTCATTTTCTCTCCAATTTTCAAAAATTCTATATAGGAGAGATCCAAAAATTGACGAAGCTCTTTTCTCTGAGATCTTTTTTAGAACTAATATAATCGTCTTTAGAATCAAAATTCTTAATATCTTATTCTATATTATTAAACCATATAGCAGTCAATAAAAGAATCTCATTTATTCGATTCCGCCAAATAAATTTATAAAAGAAAAATTATTATCCTAAAAATATTCGGCAGATTATTTCGAGAGATAATTTCGATATCAAAATAAATTCGGAGATCATATAATGACGTTTAATAGATCCAATATTATTTACTAGAATATAAGATAATCAAATAAATTGAAGATTCAAAATTTCTTTATGATTAGGAGAGCAAATTTTTTTCTTTAAATTAGAATATATATAATTTTATCAATATAAAATTTCAAGATTGAATATAATCAAATCTCGAAAAATCGTCCAATATTCATGGCAAAACGAGCACAAATCATGAAATTTGGAAGATTTATACCTATATCTTTGAATCTTCGGAATCATGTAGAAAAAAAATGAAAATGAGATTTGTCAGGAAGATCAGCAGCATATCATGAATGCAAGGCGCGCCAATTCTTTGATCATAATTATAATAAATACCCTTATCGAAATAATAATATCCAAGATTCGGATTGCGCGTCTCGTATAGGATCATCATGAATTTTATTGGGACCCCGCTTTTGGCCGCTTTCAATTTTACCAGAGAGAACAACTTAAAAACCAGTCTCCGACACACCCCCAAACTCACACGCCCACTTGGTTGGTTAGCGGGAATCAGTCAGTACGCTCATCCTAGTAATCCCCTTAGTACCAAGTTGATTCTCCATCATTATCCCTGAACCCTAAATCCTAAGCCCCCCCCTGACCCTAAACCCCAAACCCTACATAATCTTGTAGTTTCCCTCTCCTATTCTAGTACCCTACTTCCCACATTCCACCTGACCCGCAGACCTGGCAGACTCGGGAATCTCTTTCCGTGCTGCTCATCGGCCGAAGTCTCCTCAGGCGCCTCGGGTCGATACCGAAATACATCGACAGGAGTTTAGGATTTAGAGTTTAGGGTTTAGGGTTTTAGAGCTTAGGGTTTAAGGGCTCATCCCCACCAAGCTTTGGAGCTTCCTTGATATAGAGGGTTCGTAGGAAGACCGCGGATAGATGGGGAGAGTGTGGGGTTGATGGGGGGTCTTCTGAAGCACTACATAGACATGTTTTAAAAGTGCCCTCATCACCTTATGCGCCATATACTCTTGGGAACGAAGCCAACTTTTCTTCCCTGCAGCTTCAGGTACTGAAATGTACTGAACCATAGCAACACCCCGTCAGGGCACACTATAACCCTAAACCCTAACCCTAAAACCTAACCACGCGCCCCGCCATGGTCTGCCACTTCAGAGTGTGGAAGAATCGAGGCTATGCTTCTTGGGAGTCAACTCCAAAAGTTCCTCAACTATGGAAGGAGACTACGTTTCCTCTATGTAAAGTCCAAGTCTTCCCTAAACATTGAAAACCTAAATCCTAAACCCTAAACCCTATACATAACCCCAATACATACCCCATCGATAGTATGAGGAGTGCCGAGGTTCCTGGTGCACTCCCGGGGCCCACCCATCTGACTCTCAGAATACATATACGGTGTATCTAGAGATTACAAGGATTATATTGGGGTTATATAGGGGATAATGGAAAAGGAAATGGAAACTACTAAAGCAATTAAGAAGAACGAAGGTGAAGAGGGACGCTCTTAGGTCCAAGCAGAGGGATCGTTGCGAAGCATCCAGTCCTTGGGCCATGACGCCCCTGGACCCTGTCCAATCAACTCAAGAAGCCCACACTCAACTGGATCCAGATTTTCTGCGACAAACTGCCTCCCTGATCCACTTTAAACTCAAAGCAGTTGAACTAAGCTCCCGCCCAAATGCTTCAAACCTACACAAACTGCACCAAACCCCGCCTCCAGGCCCCGCGAAGCAGGCTCCGTGTCAGGGCTTGCCCACAAGAAGTCGTGGCAATGATCATCATGATGACGGTGATGACCTGTATGATGAATACACAATATGTATGTTCGTTGTTATTGTGAAATGTGCGTTTGGATTGCCAGAAAGTCTGCAGGAGACCGGAGTGTCCATCATGTGGGATAGTTTTCCAAACTAGGATGTTTGTGATGTTCCCAAACATATCACCCCCAAACATACTACGCTTAGGATAAGGACCCCTCAAGATGGCCCCTAGTTTCGGGAACTACCTATGTCCTGGCTTTGCTACAGGCGGCTCGACCTGGCAATTTGCCCCTCTCCTGTTAAAGGGCCAGTGTTTGGGGTGGAAGAGTTCAAAGGACCTGTCTATTGCATTATTCAGAAAGGGTGGATCTCTCTTGTTTTGTTCCTGTCTTTTTGACAAAGCAAGGAGTTCTTTCATTTTTGTGTTAGGGATCTTGACAAGATGTAGAGGAGCTCTTTTGTTTTTTTTGTTGAGAGCGGCGGGCAATGGCGCCTAGGTTTTCGCACACTTTGATTCTGCAGCCTCGCAGACCAGCAAGACTGCAAAGGACCTTCCTTTTGTATTGTATTGTTCAGAGAAACTGAGGGGCTCCTTCATTTCCTGTTAGGATTCTTGACAAGCTTCTCTTGTTGTTTTCAAATAAGGGAATTCTCCCATCTCTTATGAGCAGGACGAGCTCACTCGTTTCAGATAGAAAGGAGTTTTCCTGTTTTTCTATTTTTTGTTGAGAAATACAGGAGTTTTTCTCATGCATTGTGCAGAACTTGCTTTTGCTAAGTACCAGAGCTCTCCTATCTGTTCTTCCTCATCAAGAAATCGAAACGTTTTCTAGTTCTAATGAAGGTTTACGCTTGGAAAAAATCGTGTGCTCTGTTTGTCAGGCTGGAGCAACCCGCATGGCTAGGGGTCCCGGGCTGGAAAAGCTTTGCTGTGGTGTGTCTGAAGCAAAGTTTTGCAAGCAACCCAAACGCGTTAATGGTATGGTGCTACCTTCCTCTAATGAGTCTTGACATTTTGTGCTCACCACCGTCGTCCCCCTAAAATGTCTCGAGATTGCGTGCTTCCCACTCCTCAAATCGCAAGCACCGCCCCGCTAGCAGATTTTGTGTTCTCCCAATCTCAAATCGCAAGCACCGTCCCCCTTTGATGTTTTGTGACTTTGCGCCCGGCAAATCTCAAATCTCAAGCACTGTCCCCTTAGTTAGTAGGACTCTGGGTTGTGCTCCGCAGATCTCAACCCGCAAGCACCAAACTCCAAAAATGTCTCGAGACGTTGTCATCTCCACATCTCACCTACACCCTATACTATGTAGTAGTTTCCATTTTCTTTTCCATCATCCCTATATAACCCTATATAAGCCCTTTAAAGGGACCTAGGGTTTCCATTTCCAAATCGCAAGCGCAGTGCCCCGAGTAAGTGTTGAGCCTCACCGAAGAGCGAGGATGTGTAGCGCTCGTCATGGACCTGCCGTGGGTGGAGGCGTTGACTGCGCTTTGAAGGTAATATAGGGGTTATATAGGGATAATGGAAAATGAAAAAGAAACTACTACAGTATATTGGGGTTATATAGGGATAATGGAAAATAAAATAGAAACTATTATAGTCAATTATAGTATATTGGGCTTATATAGGGATAATGGAAAATAACATGGAAACTACTATAGTATATAGGGGTTACATAGGGATACTGGAAAAGAAAATGGAAACTACCATAGTATTGACACCGCTACAGTGACTACAGAGCTTCGCAGCTGGGAGGATTTTTTCCAGCCTTGCATAGATGCTCAAGCGACAGTGAAAGCCCTGTCCGATGCCTGGTCGCTCATTTCTTCCAGATGGTCGTGCTCCTGATCCACTGACATTGGCTCTGTAACGAGCAACCTTCCTCCGTCATGTTGTCGCAATATCGAGCGTCGGATGTTGGTTCGCAGTGCCCAGGAATCCAAATGTACTCTGGGATCCAATGGCAATGTGGGTGGTCTTTGCAACCCTTCTCCGCCTTCTTGTGCTTGCATCCCGGGTCGTAGTTGGAGATCTTCTTAGCTTGTTCCCAGGAGTCCCACCCAAAGTTGGGCTTTTTATACTTCTCACAATGCGCAGCCACTGTTTGGGCCTCTTTCGGGATCCAAAGGCAGTAGCCACGCGAATTCATACAATCCGACCGCGACAACTGTTTGCAGCCGGTCCCCCAGAACTCATTGTCAGCGTGCTTTTCCTGCACTGTGCAGTACTCAAACTTCTCTGATTTCGATGTTGACATCACCTGGGAGGGCTCAGCATCCTGCTCGGGTCGGAGCGCATGGACGACCATCAAATCCATCAGCATCAAGTGAAGAACTAGCATGGCGACACGGCGACTTCAAAGGGATTGAATGAGGAACTTGGGATGAATAGAATCACACGGCTTCGGAGACAGAACTGAGGATCAGATGACTGGGAATACTGTCATATGACTTCACTCCGTTGCAACATGCAGTCTCGGCACGGCACACACTGCAGAAAATCAACGGAGCTGTAATTGCACAAAACAGGTCAGCTGCACATTCGGCTGACTCTGCATCGATGAGAAAGTCTGCGAGCCGGGTCTTGTCGCCCAGGTCGCAGTGCTCAGGGCTCGATGCCTGCAAGGCATGGAGGCAATCTTGCACAGTACTCCGGCGCACCGCATGGAACCCGCTTAGGAGATCCCGCGAGCCTTCTGGGCCTCCGGGTGCTGGAGGCAGCGCACCAGCGCGCAGCAGCTCAACAGTCCCTGGCCTCAGGTCCACACCAGTCGTTCAGGAGCCAAGAAGATCTGAAAGAGACCGGGGGCTTGAAAGCAGGGAAATGAATGACTGAGGGCTACGGAACAGATCTCTGAAGTGCAAGAAGCAGGATCGCCTGAGATGTGAGAGGCTTTGGGTCCGGCCCTGGGGATATGGCATCTCAAGACTCAAGGGCTTACATATGACTCGTAGCCGCAATCTGTTTGGGATGCTCTCGGGTCGTCAGCATGTCATCTCCCCCCCCGTCCGACCTGGCCTCCGCCAGTTCTTGCAGAACCTCCTGCAATGATTCCTTTGATCCATGGGGTCTGTAACTCGTATGAGTGTGGCGATAGCGGAGCTCGCGGATCACTGTTCGCGGTCACGCGGATTAGGGTTTAGGGTTTAGGGGAATAGGACAGGTGACTGCTGGCATGGGACCATATATGAACAAGGTATGGGACGAAGGTGTCTGCATTAGTTCCAGACCAGGTGTAAAGATAAGCTCCAAAAGGTTTCCAAAAGAATTCCATCATCTATAATATAAGGGACGTACGTACTCCTGCAAGGGAGGGAAGCTTTCGTGTATCAGAAAACAAGCTTTTTCGTCAGCTGAACATGACAAGCCCTGGGCTCCCGGTGATGCTGTGGGCCATCGCTTGCAAAGCGGCCAGGTTGGCTCGCAAAACAGTAAGCTCCTCGTCGGAACATCGGACGAAGGGAAAGACTTGAACAACAACGTTGCTGTTGCCCTGCGCCAAAGCGAAGGTTCTAGGGCTGCTGGTGCACCACATCTGCTGAGCTTGGTTGTGGCAGCTCCTGGTTCAGAACTTCGTTGCGGCGGCGCAGGGACATGGGTCGCCCTATGAAGTCCACGGGCGACTGCGGGCTTTGGGTTTCAGGGCAGACTTTGGGCTCTGCTAGGAGGCTTGTGGCTTCAGAAGGTACGGAGCTTCAGATTTGGTGTCTGACACGTCATTCCCCCCCCCCAGACCTGGCCTCCGGCATCTCTTGCAGAACTTCCATGGTCATGGACTCGGCCACAGGCTGCACCATCTCCGCAGCGTAGCGGCTGGCCTGACACGAAGGTCGTGTCACAAAACAACGCATGATTCCGCGGGCTGTTGTCAAAATCCTGCGAAGGCAAACCAGGACGGGGTTCCTGCTCCTGCCGAAGTGAAGTCCAGCGCACTGCGGCGCAATGCAGCAAGCGTCCCTCCCCTTCACTAGCCTCTTGATCTGCTGGAGGAAGCAGGGAACATGGTGGGGGAAACCAAGAAATGAGCGGGGTTGCGGGAGGGGGCAAAACGAATCATGAGAATTCTCAGGATAGTTACAAGTATCACCATTACTTCAAAGTTATATCGAAAGCATCACCGACAAGGGATCTGAATTCTGGGCTCGCGCACGGCCCTGCAATACAAGTAGGACATTGGAACAGGCGCGCCAACACCGCCTCACCTTCCATGACGCAGTCCAGACGCGAGGCCCGAGGAGACTCGAACTGCTGCATGTAAATGTGCGTGAAAGCATGGAGGGTGCCTCTAAAGAACGGCTTTCATGGAGCGGCCCCAATGTTGAAAAAACTATCCACGTGATGGAGGTTCATGGCTCATCTCCTTGGCAGCGATCTCCCTTCTTGGCACTGTTGCGGCCACTCCCGTCTGGCTGTCAGAACACCAATAAGAGCAACGACTGTGAAGAGGGCCACTCTTAGGTCCCAGCAGAGGGCTTCTCTTCTTCCCACTCTCCGACGTGAAAAAACTGAAAGTTGCGAACCATCCAGTCTTTGGGCCATGACCCCCTGAAACCGGTCCGAACAGCACAAGAAACCAAAGCTCGACTGCATCCAGAGACCCATCTACGACTGACTGCCTCCCTGATCCTCTTTAGGCTCAAAGCAGGTGAACTAAACTCCTGCCCAGTTGCTTAGAACGTCAAAGCTACAAAAACTGCACGAGCCCTGCCTCCGGCCCTGCGAAGCAGGCTCCATGTCAGGGCTTTCCCACAAGCGCTCAGCAGAGGCCCGGGCAAATGCTCCAAGGCCTTACGGCCTTTCCCAGAACCAGGTTTTTTGCCTAAGGAGCCTTCAAGTTGTTGGTATGGCTATTGTTGCATATCAGTGCAGTTTACATTTCCTTGCTTTGAGGGCTTGTGCTGAAGAATCCTGCAGGGTTCTTTTGCTCAAGACCCTAGCGACTCGAAACGAAGAGCCTACCCCGCGGCTATGGGGTCCAAAAGATCCTTCGTATCTTCCCTCTGCGTATCTCCACGCTGTTGACTCTCTCTGCGACTTGTGGGGAAGTTCGGTGTCCAAAATTTATTCACTTGCATTTGGCTTAAGACGTGATGCTTGTGCAAAATCCGCTGCCGTGACTGCATGATGGGATCCCCCTTCGCGGTCGCTTGGGAGCCTCAATGCTGCGGAGTCAAGCCCAGCTCAGTGGATTCAAGCGCAGAATATGACCAGGCATCAAGCCCTGCCTCGAAAACCGACCTAGCGCTTAGCCACTACAGGTATGGCTGAACAGTGTCTACCGGGAAAGGAGACATCAGATATATTTACTGCTTTGAAGCTATCTATGGGCATTCAACCAGGACTCTAGGCCCCAAACTCTGCCTTAAGTCCCAGCACACATCCCGAGCCTTGAGAATCCCCAACCGCTAAAGGCCAAACCCTGTTTGGGGGGTTAGGGTTTAGGATGTACGCTTTACGGTTCACAGCTTATATAGTAACACTCAAGCCTTTTGTAAGCATAGATCCAACAATGGAGGATGCAACTCGAGGCAGCCCCACACGTGAAAGCTGCCGTAACCTAATCTTACATAAACACTGCCCAATAGGGTGATTTGTCAGAAAGTATGGGGATTTTATGGAGACTAGTGGCGGTATTAGGGATTCTGCAGTGGTATCAGAGAGCCTTAAGTGTTCCCCGCAGAAGGAGTCCCTGAACAGGGAATGTCCTTTGGGCGAAACACTCTTTTCTGCAAACTTCCAACTGAAGTATGCTGGCAGTTCCGGGTCTGCAGGAGGCCTACGAGATTCGTATCGCGGCTCGTCTTCGTATGCACTCGGTCGGGCCTACCTTCCCTGCAAAGCAGCCCGCCCTTGGAGGATCCAGCAGCGAGCAAACCTCGGCCCGCTCTTACCGTCGTGCCAATCGGCTGGACGTCTGTGGTCACCCTGATCCAGGCCGCAAGGCACATTGCCTACTCCATAGCAAAGGTGCCAAGCCGAGAGGATGTCCGAAAGGACTCGGTGCTGCCGGCAGAGGACAGCCCGACAATCTTGCACCTCGACAACTTCGATGAGATTCGCTACCTCAAGAAGGAGATTGCTGACTCTTTGGATGGGTCACCTTCACCCAACCATGTTAACTTCATCTAGGCTTGCGAAAAACTGGGCTTGCCGCGGAACTTGGGCAAGCAGCTGAGCAGCTCTTTGCAGGGAACCCTCCAAGGAGGAGAGATTATCGGAGACAGGCGAACTTAAATGGGGTTATGTATTCTCTAGTATTTAAGGTCTAAACTCCTTAAAGAGGGGACTATGTAGGGAGGCTAGTAGGACAGACCTAGCCCACTTGGGAGACGACCGGCGATATTTCGGGGGCCATGGGATCTTAAAGTGTGGAAAGACTCTTCACTGCCTCCGTTCAGCTCTTCGAGGTCGCACGGTTGAGTGCAACATCACACCCGCCCTTCTTGTTGCAAACTTGTGATGGTCATAGCTCGCGCAACGCGCGTTGCAGGATTGCATTGCAAGCATGCGTATGCCTCGGACAGCATTGGCAAAGTACAGACGGATTGCAGCAATTTCTCCTCCACCTGTGCACTTGACCCACTCGCCCCACTTGCCCCAGCTTGCCCCCTTGACAGTATTGTAAATAGCTCATGTGGGTTAAACTCACATTGCCAATTTGTTTCTTTTATCTTTTCTGCTGCGTTCTTGCCTAGAATCCGAGAGGAGATATGTTGGCGGTGGGTTTGCCAGCTCTCTCTTTGCTGCCCATTTTCCGAACTTAGACTCCAACTTGTTTGCAAAGTTCGTTCTATTTTCGGATCTCAGGCCTGGCCAACCAAAAGGCTGCTTTCAGGATGTCCTCGGCTCGGCCCAGTCTGGAGCTAGCTTGCGACTGGAAGTCGTTCAGGTCTTCTGTAGACTGCAGGTCAATACGCTGCTTGAGAGAACTGTTGACCCGTGCGGATAGCCTAGGCCATCTTGGAAACCTGTGCACTGCTTAAGGAGTGTTTCACCGTTCACAATCATTGTCTGGCTAACCGAGCTTCTGGATCTCTGTCTTCCAGTAAGCTTTTCTGGTTCGAAACGAGTCACCATTCGCTCGGTTGCGGCCCAATCACGGAACCGAACCCAGTTCGTCGTACAAACCCGCGAGCAATATTCGCAGGGTACTGCAATTTTTTCCCTGCCAAGAGAAGAGACCAAATGAGAAAATGGTGGCGGTTGTGAAACCAGAGTGAAACAGTAACGTAAGACCACAGGTCTATGGGGTTGCACGATCTACCAGAGCTACGTCAAGGCAGAAGCTCTCAGGACTCCTTCTTGGAACTGCGCACTAACCTGTACAAGAAAAGTGACAAT